TTTTTTTTTTTTTTTTTTTTTTATAAACGTATTTTATTCATTTTATTAGTAAATGATAACGCATTACATTAACTAGTAAATACAAAAAAAATACATTGAAGCTAGTTATTTCTAACTACACCTCTCCATATAAAAACTTTAGAATTCTTTCTAAAGTGTAAACTATCGTAACCAGCGTGCTATTCACGTAAAAGCAGCTCCCCGAGCCCTTTAACTGAGTAATATCGAACAGAACTAATACTAATAAATTATAAATAAAAAAAAAATTCTATAACAACTACTTAGATTACAAAAAGGAAAAGCAAGATCGCTAAAAAACCTATTTTGAAACATATCAAGATTATTATCTAACTAAAGACAGATTAATCCCCTCTGTACTATATCCCAGTAAACCAGAATAAAACCTTCCTTCGGCGAAATCTGCGGTCTTTAGATAGTTTCTCGCATGCAGGACTTTTCTCCAAAGAAATTTATTTCGACGTACCGTATCCCAGACACGTGACTTGGTATGATTGGCCTCCCCAATGTTGATCGGCATCTCCATAAACTTCAATTTTGATTGGTACCTTCTGCTTGAAAAATCTTGCCTAAAACGTATAGGCCACACCTTGTACCACACTTTACGAGGACTATTCTGATTAAATTTCGAAATTTAGAGATCCCTTTCTTAATTTGAACATATATGATGTCGTGAAATTTCGATATAATCAGTGTACAGCGTTGGGTATGCAATATCAACGTACAAACAGCCGGAGTTACTTCTAAACTCTGTTAGGTTATAGGTACACCTCTACTGTATGATTCCCAATTGGAGACTTAACATAGTTTTTCTGATCAACAAATTGGGATCCTAATCAATAAAGTTATTGTCCCCTAAATTCTGAGTACGCCACCTGTGACAGTTTACTCAAGTGATAAATAAAAGGACCGATCTAGAACCTTCCTAATATGGTTTATTCACTTGAGTACGCTTCACACCGGTTATGTTACACGCTGCTAACTATCACCGTACTCCGACCGGACTCCACTCACCGCTAATTCTCTGTCTCATGTCTTACATGCTTCAAATATATGATTATCATACATGTGGTTGTGGTAAACAGAATCTGATTACACCATTACATATAAAAATGAATTAATGTTTTCACAAACAATTCACAAGAATTAAACTTTTCATTTTCTAATTCTTGACCATGTCAGTAGGCATTTACAATATTTTGGATATAACTGGCGCCTTGCTCGACGCAATCTTAAAAGTATAATTAATTTCTTTTTCAAACACATAAGTCATTATCATTCAAACTATCAGAACTATGTATTGTTGCTGGGCAATTGACCATATAGTGCTGTTAGTTTTGAAAGATAATCTTTGACCGTAGTTATTTTAAAAATTATGGAATCAAATGAATGAGATTATCTTTGTATTAATATTTTTTTTTTCTCTTGTATATGTGCAGGAATTAAAATCTGGCAGAAAAGTCGCTATCACTATCAAAAATTGTTCTTCACAAACTCTTGAAAACCCCAAAATATTTATAAAGTCTGGAACATGTAGAAAAGGATTTCCTCCTAATCCAATCCCAACGGGTAAAGGTGTGGTCTGGGCTGCCAATAAGACCTCTTATTCGACTTGGGGAACGTCAGGAGTTATTGTGTACCATATCAAAACCGAAAAATGGAATAGGTCTTTAGCCTTTATGTGGAAAATTCCATTCTCCTACGTCAATCATGCAAATTGGTGGAAAATTAAGCTTTATGAAGGTTTGGTAGAAGTTAATAAAGGTAATAACTAGTTTTTTGATTATATAAACTTATTATCGTTATTAATATTTATTATCGTTGTATTATTATTGAATACTAGAATTTTATGAACGGATGCGCTATGAAGACAAACCTCATAAAGGAGATGGCAACCCTTTTAACGGTGATCTAGGCGGTGGTTGGAGTTACGTGGGAACAATGGGAGGTGCAGGCAAATGTACTATCGATATTACTATTACTGATGGTAATAATGAGCCGTGCTTTTAACACATCTAAGTATACAAATTAAATATTTTTATGGACGCAATGTATTATTTTTAATGGACGAAATGTATTTTGTTTTTATTAAGGGTTCTCTTAAATAAAATAACAACATTATGTTAATTTTGTATTTTTCAATATCCTACATACTGAAAATAATATATCAATTTGTCCAAAATTTTAAAATTTAAAGAATATTTGAATTTAAAGTAAGAAAGCATTTATTCAGTGATTTGCAAACTTATCTATTTTGGTACTAGTGTTAGAAGCGTTAGAAGCATCTTTTAAAATATAAAAGCTCCAAATACAAAATTATAGATATACAATATTACATGAGTTAAATCCAAGAAGGTTGTTAATTGTATTTTATCTCTAATATCATTTCAATTTTACTGTAAGGATTGTATTCTAAATAAACAAATAGAAACTGATGACTGTGATTTTTACGACCAATTTGACTTTCAATTTGTCCAGTACTTTTCAATATTTTTTTATTATTGACTTGGTGACATAGTAATAGAAAATGTAACACAAGTAACAGTGTAGACGAAAAAAAAAATGGTAATATCATTTCCAATAAAAACTTTTTAATTATGTCATTCTTAACATTTTAAAAGTACTTTTCAAAGTCTAACTTTCCAAAGTCTGTATCAGAATAACATATAGTTCTTAAAGTTCATATCGATATTCTTATAAATTGGAGCATTGTTTAATGTGAAATCCCGATTTGCATTTTGTGGATTTTCCAATTTTGCAATTTTGGGGTATTCCGAAATGACGCGATTTCTAATTCAACTTTTCTCTTTGGCACTTATTGTTAAGCCAACCTTGATGCCTTTTATTAATAGAAAAATGCGAATAAAATAACGTAATTTTAAATGATCTGGTAAAATTCCCATTCCGATGCGTGGTAGGAATAAAGTATAAAAGAGCCTTTTTTTCCAACTGTGAAAAGACCTTTAGCTGTTATTATCTAAAAAAATCTGACATTGACCCACCAGTAAACACACTTAAAAAACTTTACTGCGTATCTAATAATGTCCAGTTTAACATCATTCAGCTCTTCGGGAAGCATGCCAATTTTGGCCTTAGCCGCTGTCATTCATTAGTGCATCGATATTCATAGGGATCGCTACCATGTGGCAATTTCTCAAGCAAAAAATCTCCAATGAGATCTCTGCATGTGTCACTAAAATCGCTGTAAAAATCAATTTACGTGATGTAGTCTACGCCACAGAGGCACAGAAAATCTTATCAATATTTAACAACATAACAGCTAGACTTAATACCATATGGGTTAGGGCTCGGCAAATTCCTCCCTTAAAATCCTTCTTCTTCATCGCTTTTTATACTTAGGTGGCATCTTTATTATTTTGTAAAATGATTGATATATTGAGAAACAAAGTTTCACACTCAATTCAGGCTCGTATTTTTTAACGAGTCCAATATTTATTGTATACAATAAGTGTTTATTTATTAGCATAATATGACAACTGAAGCAATGATAAAATATAGTTATAGCATTCTTTATATTTAAGGTACTTGGGTCAGAAAGAATAATTTTCTTCACAACTAGAATATCGGAAATATAATTTTGTGCTGTTGTCTATAATCTGATCAGATATTATTCCTTCTTTCCTTATTACATGTAATAGAGATTTAAGGTTATTTTTTAATAGAATTTCTTTTAACTTTTTCTGCGTTTTGAGGACCTGCATCAACAGCTGTCGTTGTATAACATGAATGGCGTCTAGACGTTGCATCTCTTAATACAGTAGTTCAATTATTCATGTGTTGAGATATTCAACATGAGCCTGTTTACGAAGAAGATCATGAATTCAGAGGTGGGTTAAAAAATATTATTGCAATTGTGAAAATTAATTTACCCTGAATGATAACAAATCTTTAATAATGTCCTAATGTCCTCTAATAAATATAATTGAGCCAGAGTGTTTGGTATCGCAAATGAAAAATCCTATCGTCAAAGATATGCTCCATCATAATAATTCATAGTATAAAAAGCGAAATCCTTCCCTTACTAAGAAAAAAAAAGTTTAGGAAGTATATAGTATATAGTTTGATAATCACAAACATGCAAAGAAATGTTACTTACTATCTACTAGGATTCCAAATGTTTCGAGAAATTACTAAGAGCTTTTTTTCGTCAACTACTCCTTTTTTGCGTAGATTTTTCTAAATGAAAAAATGACAAGCGCATTGCTATTCAAAAAATTACGCATCATGAGTTCTCAAGTATTTAATATATAGAAATGCTTTGAATTCTAACCTTTTAATATCTTTTGTAGGTCACCAATTATGATCTTCAACTATAGTGTTACCTACTACTTCAAGAAAACCGACCTGTAAGTTATTTCCATTTTAGATAATGAAATTTTATTGGTTTTTTACGGTCAGTGTTTTCTATTTCGCTACTATAGAAATATATCATATTTAGCCATTTCATATATATAAAAAATAAAAATGGTACATGAAACTTACGTCAATATTCGGATAACATTATTTGTGTCAAAGAAAATGTCATCACATGACAAATTCACTAACCAAATTCGATATTAGCTTTCGCTGGTTGATTTATCGTTTAGAACATACTTCAAGAGTTGGAAGCATATCAAACTACAAATATAAAAGATTAACAAAACTATAATAACAAACAGTAGTAAACAGCAGAAACTTACAATTTTTGGTACACGTTGTCAACCCATTTTGACAACCAATATTTCCAGAATTTGTACTTCGTTTGGTATTTAGGAGCAAAAAAGACCAAATCAATATCTATGTAAACACCATCTGGCATTTTTTATAGATTCATTATACTCCTTTAGAATTTGTTCAATTTTATCTAGCGGAGGAAAGATTTGCGCGCTAATTTCTATATCTTTCTAAAGTCATAATGCAATATCTTGTTAACAACTGCTATTATATAACAAATATCAAGTGAGATATTCTCTTACGAAAGAAATTTTCGAAATTTCTCTATTGATAATCACTAAATTTACTCCGCAAAATATCATTTTTGTGACGTTCGGAAAGGAATATAACACTGCATCATGCAATTCTTATACCAATCTCAGAAAGCTTCTTAGCTGTAACACTGTTTGCAACAGATAGTAGCTCCATGTAATCGTCTGATATACTTTCAACAGTATCACCTATATTACGATCTTTTTTTTCACTTTGAGTTCTGAAAAAGGTCAAAAACCAATTTCACAAAGTACATTGAGGGCTTTGTAAGGTAGCGCTGGGAAAATTACACAGATAGAAATTTTATTTATAAACTTACCTTTCTGGTCTGATGTTTCCTGTGACCACTTACGTTTTGTATCCAAGATACTCCCATTGTTAATATTCTCAATCTTGTGAAAATCCCATAAAAATTAACTAAACGTACAGCTTTTTCACAAGTAGTACGGTTCTTCTCCCAATTTTGGCAACGAACATGATCCGGTCGAAAACCCAACAGTGAAAATTTAAAATTTGAAAATTAATATTTTTTAACATTCACAACTAACTGTTGATGATTTCCTTGACTTCTTCCATCAGGTTGAGTTTAAATCTTGAACGTCAGACAAAGTTAAAATTCATCTGCGCCCTGTGGGGTCAGTATTGGGTCAAGTTAAAATCTTGAACGTCAGGCAAAGTCACCAAGATAACCATTATACCACACAAAAATGTAACCCCTGATAAAATTTTTTGAAGTATCTAGAATATTTCGTCATTCATCACCCATCATCATCATCATATATCAACCGATTTTTGCCGATTTGATTTAATATAAATACAATATGAATCAATCAAACGGTTCATCAGTACAAACTGAAATCTTCCCATCTGAAAATATAAGATCGTATACAAGATATACAAAAAGGTTTTTATTTGACATTTTACTGAAAAGTTGATTTTTTGATCCTTGTTTTTAACCCACGATTTTCACGTTTGCAGATATACTGACATCATGTTAGGCTGTTTCGTTGTAGGTAAAGATAAGGTTTTTATCATCGAAACTGATAGAATCAAAACCATTTCACAACTCAGGAATAGCATCAAAGTCTACAAGAAGAACGTGTTTAAAACTTTTGATGCCAACCAAATTACATTATGGAAAGTCGATATTCCTGTAATGAAGAAGCTAAAAATTAATACAGATACTAATATTGCTCAAAATTTTGGAGCTGTGAAGTTAAAAGAAGATTTTGATACTATTGAAGAGTATTTTGGCACAAACCCCACTGCAAAACACATCCACGTCATTGTCTACCTCCTACTGCCTGACACCACTGGTAAGTGTCTCCCAATGGTTTACCTCTTGAACAAGAAATTCACAGATCTTTTATTAACTTATATCTGATTTCTTTTTTGTTTTAAACTCAGTATCCAAATCAAAGTAGGATGACCAGATGAATATCAAACTTCTAACCGTAAACCAGTTAAGGTTGCTGGAGAAACTAGGGGTTTTGGCAAGTTGGCAAAATGCTGAAATAGTGAAATTTTGCTGAAACTATATAAAAGTCTTATTAAAAAGTTGGCGAAACTCGGGAGAAAAGCAAAACTTGATGAAACCTATTATAAATGCCAAAACTGCCAAAACCTTGCCAAAATTATAATAAAACTATAGTAAAATCTTGGAGAAACTAATCGTAAAATTTTGGAGAGGTTTAGATAAGCAACCTTAAAACCAGTTGATCGTCTGATCAAAAATTTTTAGATTGATCATTTGATCTTTATAAAGTGCAAATTATCCTTAAATTGCCAGACCATATCAACACAGATATATACTCATCAGAACCATATTCCAAGTACATGAGAGTTGAAGGGAACGAAATTGTTCTGGGTGAACATATAATGTTAAATTTACATAATGAGCTAATACTTGATAATGGTGAACCCATGGCAGACAATATCACAATGAATTCTGTAGAAAATAATGAGCTAATACTTGATAATGATGAACCCATGACAAACAATATCACAATGGATTCTGTCGAAAGATAATGGAATTGGGAAGCCCAAACCACTGGTGAAATTTCTTCATCTCCATAGCACACCAGATGGAATAGTCTATAGAATATCAACACAGGATATACTAATAAAAACTTCATACTTGCAGATGATTGAAGAGATTGAAAATGATCGTGCTATAAGTGAAAAAAAAGATGATAGAAAAAAAGGATGTATTATAATTGGATCACCTGACATTAGCAAAACACATTTTTCGGTATATCTTGCTTTCTATATAACTCATCAGTATTTTCCGGCAGATTTTATCTATCAACAGTTAAACAAAGGCAAATCTCATACTATTCATATTAGTCAAAAAACATGGATGTAATCAAATATCCTCAGGGTTTAGGAGGCGAATTCCCAATAAATAGTTTCTATATTACTGATTCTGTAATCCCTTCTTTATGTACAACAAAATTCACATTTCTAGTCACAGTACCAAAAAATGATCTCTGGCATGAATTTGCTAAACACTGTGTTTGGAAATATTATGCACCGATTTGGATAGATTGGGAGATTTGGAATGTTTGGGAATGGGATAAAAGGGATTATAAGCATAAAATACCTAAAGAGCAAGTTGAGGAATTAATTATTTGATGGGTTGTATACTATGACGAATTTTTAATGAATATGATAATGAACCACAAATTGACGATATAGTTTCTCAGTGTGATGCTTATATGTACCTTAGAAATGATGGAGGAGATTTAAAAGATAATTCTTCTGGGAAAGCTATACATATTTATCCCAGTTCTGATTTTAAAAATAAACAATATGTTATCGCTTTAAAAGAAATACTTAAGGCTTTGTATGATCACTATGCAAAGAACACAAAAGATATAATTATTAATGTAATCAAAAATTTTGCAAAGACTGGTCCATTAGCTGGCAAACTCTTTGAATTGTTAGCTCATGATATCTTGCAAAAAGGTGGAAAATTTAAGGTGCGACGTTTAACTAAAGATATCAATGAAGACTCTGAAAAACTGCCTGTTGAAGAGTTAACACTTAAGGGGTTAACGCACAAACAGTTTCGTAAAATTGATGAAATATCTTCAGAGTGTTATAACATTTCCGATAGTCCTAATTTTAAATCTATTGATTCTATTGCGCCTGATTGTGATGGAACTCATTATTTATATCAGATGACAATTGCAGATAAACATAGTATCAAGGTAAAAAGTCTCAGCGAATTGGAAAGTAAAATAAATGATTATCAACTAATCAATCTATATTTTGTTGTCCCGAATATAAATGATCTGTTTGATGATTTTTGTGAACAGAAGTATGTTACAACAGCAGATACAGAATATATAGGATGGGATTATACAACATCTTGGATTAAGCAAAATTTGACTCAATATGTTCTTAAGATCAATTTGTCAGATTTTTAATTATTGGAAATAAGATTACTTTTAGCTTTAACTATCAGAAGATCATGCAAATAAATACAAGAAAAAATGTAATAAATGAAACTAGATTACAATCAAAATAAAAAATTCCTGGTAGATTTACATACATTTATCGCAAAAATTTAAAATCCAATTTGAGCTAAAATCTTATTAATTTATTTTTTCATTGATTTAGTATGATAAAATAAAATGAGTAGCAAGTCTAAAGGAAACCCATAGAATGAGGGTTTCTTCTGCTACTCCTACACCTAATGCTAATTTTTTCGCTATCTATGCGCATATCTACTGTGCCTCTATTAATGCTAAATTTCAATTATGTTTATCTATATCTGATATCACTCCAACACTACTCCAATTAAAATAAATCATATCCAATACAAGTAAGATTTTGAAATTACAGTCATGTGATTTTTCTTTGAGGTGTATTTTACACTTTAATCTTGTATTGTTTCTTTTCTGTGTACAGCATCATTTCACATTAACTCAAGGAAATTTCTTTGTTTTGTTGAATTCTTTATTACTTGGTTCTCTTTCTGAGCTGTTTTTTGTGTATTTGGAGTTCACGCTAAAATTTTTCTTGGCTTCTTTTAGAAACCTATATCTATATTCTATAAATTTGTATGCTGACTCCATTTTTGTGGTTTTTTGTATGGGTTGTTTTAGTAAAAACTCTTACAAAAGACATTTTTCTTCCGTAAAAACTTTAGACAGAGTGATTATCAGAACAAGTTCCCCTTTCTCTTCTTACTATTATTAACAATAACCATATTAATTATGTAATCAGCATCAGAATCTTTCAACAAAATAGTAAGTTTTGAAACATTTACTTCAAAACTTTTAATAATTTTTTTTTTAATTTTTAGAAGCATTCTAATGCTTCTTATACTTTCTTTTTTTAGGTCTTTCAGTATTCGTCTTCAGAAAGCTAGGAAATGGGTAAGTTTCAAAGCGTTCACTTCAAAACTTTTTAATAATTTTTTTTATTTTTTAGACGTGTTTCTAATGCTTCTTATACTTTCTTTTTTTTGGTTTTTGGTATTCAACTTTGGAAATGAAATGGGTAAGTTTTGAAGCGTGTTCACTTCAAAACTTATTTTTTTTTTAATTTCTTTTAGGAAATGTTTTTAACGCTTCTTTTCTTTTTTTGTGTAGGCTTCTGGTATTTTGATTTCAGGAAAAACATGTGAAAACAAATTGGCAATGTGGTAATTACTTTTGTGTGAGTAGAAGACTTTATAGACATCAAAAGTTGATTTTCAGCTTTTCTAACAAATCATGTAGTGTAAAACAATGCTAATAAATACAAAAATCCAATTCAGGATTAGGACTCCAATTTTGGTTAGTTTCAGTAAATGAGGAAATTCATCTGGCCTGTGAAGAACTCAAGATCCCAAATCTGTGTCAAAATATTTTGGTAAATTACAAAGATATTGGTAAATTTTGGAGCCCTATTCAAAGCCATTTTTTGTTTTTTGTTTGTGGGTGATGTTGAAAGATAATTGTTGATTTACTAATGTGCTAGAAGTCGATTGTTTGTCCATTGTCTGGCTAGAAGGTGTGATCAAAGAACACGTGACCCAGTGTTTCTGTGAGCTGGCACTAGCACTAGAGGATGAGTGGAATGGAGATTCTCATTTGCTTTTTGAGCTAGATAAGCATATATCTTGAATACTGATGAAGATTCTGATTATAACAAAAGAGTCTTTGAAATTAAAAGTTCTGTATACTCTCGGTATAGAAACCAATAACCATCATAAGTAGTAAGAATGCCATATTTAAGTTCGTTTACTCCCATATAATTGTAAATTTGTTGGATCACTGTTCTTGCTTTTTTATTTGCCCAGTAAAATTCAGGAAATATCTGGTCATCTATATTTTCTAAAACATGTTTTCTTTTGACTTTAACACCAAGATCAATAATTCCAACAGATAACAGTTAAAATCTGGTACACCAGATGTATAAATTTGATGCCTTGAAAAGTTATAACCTGGCACCATGAGCCAATTCAATATCATACATATATTGCTGTTGATAGCAACACGAACATTCTCTTTACAGAATACCACTTTATTTTGGTTAAACTGCAGTTTTTCAAATTTCAGTTGTTGGCTGAATTGGAACTGATTAACTCTTTGAAAAAGTCACCCCATAGAAGTACTTTTGTTGGCGGGTCACCATTGACCCTTGTAGTGGCCTTCAATGTAGTACATTTTGGAGAATACATAATGGGTGGTGGAATACATAACAATGCTTCTTCCAGGCTGAGAATTGAAAACAAAAACATGTTATGTAAATATTACAAGGGTAATAATGTAAAAATTGCACATTGTATCTAACACTTACATGGCAACTTTATGATGATATAGACATACTCTTCGGAAAGTATAAAGGGAAAATATTTTGAAATCTTCTTTGTTGCAAGAAGTTCATCTTTATTCTGAAGTGATTTCTTAGCTAATTGTTATGGTTGTCAGGAATTTCCACTTTCCATAACTTTAGGTCCTTTGCCTTGACATTTTCAGAAATATCAATCTTCTCCCTAATTCCTTTTTTGAGATGCCTGACAAGTTGGTTTCTATCAATATCAACAGGAAAAGCGTTTGCAATTGTATTACCTTTGACAAGGCAAACAGGAGAAATAATGGATTGAAAGTGTTTTAATGATGGGTTAAAGTTTTCTTTCTCTTCATTGTCACATTTTTGTTTAACCCTTTCACATTCTTTGATCACCCTCTACCAGAATGTTTGCAAGTCTTTCTTACATTGTGAACATTCTGTCTTTACCTGTTGTGAGAAGGAATTGTTAGTAGTGCATCTTTTTTATTTAGCAGTAAAAATACATAGCCAATTTTCCCTTCAGAACCAGAAGACTTTCACTAACAATAAAGTTAGGATGCCTGAATTGAAAGCTTGGAGTAGATACCAAGTGAACAAACCCAGTAATTCTCCTGAATCAGGTCAAGTGTTTGATGTGATTAGGAGTTACTCTTCTTTGCAAAATAAAAAAAAATGCACCTTTTCTTTTATAGTAATGTAGTTTTTTTAATCTAAAAGGTTTTTTGCTTCATTTAAAAAATTCACACTCCAAGTGTGGTCAAAATCAATCCAGTTAGAAATTACAAACAAGGAAGAAATTAAAGCATTTCAATTGAGTTCAAGAAAACTGCAGTATGACCTGTTGTTAGCTGTCTGTAAATAAAAAACTAGAGCTAGTAAATTGAAATATTGGTTAGAAGCTGAATCCTAACTCCATATCCTAAATCTATACCCTAATCTAATCCTAATCCCATATGACCATATCTCCTAATACAATCTCCTAATACAATCTCCTAATAGAACTTACTAATTGATCATAATCATAAGCAAAAGCATCATTGATATCTACTTTTCTGCATTTATAAAGTACAGACTCACACATTTGCTTGTGAACTTCTTCAACTATTCATGGGGAATAACTGTTCAATAGGCTTTGTTTTAACTGCATGCAAGAGTTTATCTTTTAACCATGATTGGTGAGTTAGATGATTGAGCTTGTGGTATTCAATTCTATATCGTTTTACTACAAATCCCATATTCTCTTATATAGTGTTCAGCAATTTTCCAAGAACTAAAATGTGCACCAATGGACAATTCCCAAAGGTTGACTTAGCAGAGGATATTGTGTTGAGTCAAGACCTTCCAGCTCCATCCTGAGAATAGGCCCGTAAGAATATTTGTGTTACTTTCACCTTCTTTATCAAGTTCTATTTGTTCTATGTATTAAATATTGAGTTAACTTTTGTTTCTTTTATTTTACTAGGTAGAAACAAACATTATATGAACCTTGGTTAACTTCAAAGTTGTCTCTATCTAGCAAATAAACAAGTTCAGCCAGTGTATTTATATTTAACCAAAAAAAACTCCATAAAAGAAAGTTTCAGTATTCCTTTATTAAAAACTTTTTTTTTATCTTGATAATAAGTTGTTTCATACAAAGGTTCCATTTTGAGTCATTTAAATAGCCAGTTGTGTGACAATGAACAAAGGAAGAGTTGTATCATTCTTTTAAAATTGTGGGAATTTTTATTTATAATAAAATAAGCTTTTGTAATACATGTGATGAATGATGTAATAATAGTGTAATAATGAAGCACAATATTACACAAGCTATGATATCACAGGATGGCGATAACGTTGCATATGCAACAAATAAATTATCTCATAAAGAAATTGCCCAATTCTTTATCATAAAATAACTAGCAGCTACTCACTGTTACTTTACACCATATACCAATATATTATTATTAAAAAAAAATCACCAAAAAAATTTTATCATATCTATTGTTATTAAAAAAAAAGAAACTTTTTTACAAATCTCATTAAATATAATCTATTATTGTAAAAAATTTTTATTAATGGGAACTAAAAAGAATCTTACTAAAACATTAATTGTCTATTACCAATCTATCATTAATTAAATAGAAAAAAATCTTGGAAAATATTTTTATACTGATCTATTACTAAAAAGATTTTTTTATATCCATCTATTAACAATATCAATCAATTATTATTAAAAAAAAATCTCAAATAAATTTATTATATCTGTCTATTATACTACCAATAAATTTGTCATTAAAAAGATCTCAGAAAATTTGTTTATACTAATCTATTGAATCTATTGTTATTAGAAAAAGTCCCAGAGAATTTTTTTAGATCCAATATATTATACCAATGCAATTTATTGTTATTAAAAAAATCTCTAATAATTAAAACAAATAAAAATATTAAATAAATTAGCATATTTTTTATTATTTATATATAATTAAAAATAATAACAATTACTCCTTCTTTTAATTAATAGCATTATTTAACATTTTTCTATATGCAATTTTACTATTACTAGTATTTAAACAAAGGATATAAATTCATAATGATGGCATGTAAGCAATTTACTCTAATCTAGTATTTAAAATATCATCAACTATGTCAATAGGATTAAATT